CGTAACCTCCTGGATTCAGGCTGGAATGGAAACTTTTATTTCTTCGCGTCAGTTTCAAGTCAAGCCTCATTCTACTCCATGGTTTTCTCCTTCTTGTGCGGCTGCTATATCCAATCGTAATCATTTTTTTCATCTTTTTCAAAAGAACAACTCTTTAAAGAACAAACAGCTATTTATTATTGCAAGAATTCAATGTAAAAAGGTGCTTTCTGATGCTAAACTCCATTATTCTCAGTTCACTAAATCTTGCATCTTATCGCAGAAGTTAGGCTCTAAAGACTTTTGGAAAATCTTCAACAGCATTATTAACAAGAGTAGATCTAACATTCCATCTCTCATTCATGGGACTGATCTTATTACCACTCCCAAGGATAAGGCAGAACTATTTGCAAAGAACTTTTCTTCTAATTCCACTCTTGAATCTTATGGACATTCTCTTCCTTCCATTCCAGTCAAACAGGTTGACCCATTGTTAGACATTCAAATCACTCCGGCTTCTGTTGCTAAAGTCATATCTCAATTAAACTCGTCTACAGCTCGCAGTCCAGACAACATTCCCGTCACAGCCTTGCAGAATTGTTCTCCAGAACTTTCTTCAATTCTCTCTAAACTATTTAACAAGTGTTTGACTGAGTCTTGTTTTCCTGCTTGTTGGAAAATGGCATCTGTGGTTCCAATATTCAAAAACTCTAAAGAAAAAATTCTGACCCCTCCAATTATCGTCCGATCAGTCTTCTTTCTGTTATTAGCAAAGTCTTTGAGTCTTTGATCAACAAATTCCTCGCATCTCATCTTGAGTCAAATAAACTGCTGTCAGACAATCAATACGGTTTTCGATCCTCTTGCTTTACGGCCGACTTGCTGACTGCTGTAACTGAAAGATTTTATCGTGCATTAGATGGAGGCGGTGAGGCTAGGGCTATTGCTCTCAACATATCTAAAGCTTTCAACAAAGTTTGGCATGCTGGTCTTCTCCATAAGCTTGCTTCATTTGGTGTTTCTGGGAAAGTTTTTGAGATTATCAAATCATTTCTTTTTAACCGGTTTATTAAAGTCATCCTTGAATGCCAACATTCTTCTTTATTTCCAGTAACTTCTGGGGTTCCCCAAGGTTCCATCCTGGGCCCTGTTTTGTTTCTTATCTACATAAACAATCTTCCTGACAACCTTTCATCTAAAGTAGCTCTTTTTGCTGATGACTCAACTATATACTCCTGTCTTGACAAAAAGTCCTCTCTTTTTGATCGCCTAGAACAAGCAGCTGATCTTGAATCCGATCTCACTTCAGTAATAGATTGGGGTTCACAGTGGCTTGTGAATTTCAACTCTAAAAAAACCCAGTTGCTTACTGCAAACAACTACCGTAATATGGTCAACATTCCTATATTAATGAATGGCAATCCTCTTACTGAGTCGTCCTCTTTACGTCTTCTTGGATTATCGCTTAATATTGACCTTTCATGGAAACCATATATACAATCAATTGCTAAATTAGCTTCTGCTAAGGTTGCTTCTCTTTATCGTGCTCACCATTTCCTTACTTCTGATTCCATTCTCTACCTCTACAAATCTCTTATTTGTCCCTGTATGGAGTACTGTTGTCATATTTGGGCTGGTTCTTCTAACGATTCACTTTCTCTTCTGGACAAGGTCCAAAAACGCATTGTAAATGTTGTTGGACCTGGACTATCTGCTAAGCTTGAACCTCTTTCCCATCGTCATAAAGTTGCATCTCTTTCTCTTTTCTACAAATACTATCATGGTCACTGCTCAAAGGAGTTATCATCTCTAGTTCCATCAACTAAAATTCATTCTCATTTTACTCGTCATTCAGCTAAGTCTCATTCGTTTACTGTATCTGTCCCTGCATGTTCTAAAAACTTTTATTCATCTAGTTTTTTTCCCCGCACTTCAATCCTTTGGAACTCTCTCCCATCTTCATGTTTTCCTGACTCTTACAACCTACAACTTTTCAAGTCTTCTGTCAACTGTTTCCTTGCTCTATAACTCTGTTCTTTTTTTTCCTAGTAACTCCAACTTGATAGTGGTTGCTTGCAGCCTTGTTGGGAGTGAATGCAAATAAAAAAAAAAAAAAAAAAGTGATAAAGATTCCATTCTAGTAATAGTTTTATGGTTATAATTTTTGCTAATGTCATGTTTATTTATTATGTCATGTTAATAATTATTTTTACCATAGTTTTTATCATTAGCTATAATTTTTAGTAAGGTTATAATATTATAGTTACTATTTGTAATGTTTTTTATTCATTATATTATTATTATTATTATTACTATTATATTATTATTGTAACTAATAATATTATCTTTATCTATCAATGCTTTATTTTCTTTTATTTTCTTTTTTTTTTTCTCTTCATTTTATTTAAATTTTTTATTTTATTTTATTTTTTTTTGTATTTTTTTTAAAGGTGTCACTCGATTGACTAGTTTGTAACTATATGAGTGACACCTAATCTTATTTATGTGAATTAATGATATATTATTGTAAATTTTTCATATTTTTATGGTTAAATGAGACAGTTAATTAACAAACAGTAATTTCACATTACTAACAAAAAAAAAAAAAATACTTTTTACATCTTTTACAAAAACCAATTCGCCTAAATATTCATGAGGGCAATGACTTTGTGGCATGTAATACCATGAATAAATTCTACATATTTATTTGCAATAACTAATTAAACACTTGGAAAGCATTTGAATCAATTTTCAATCCTGAAGATAACTTGTGTAATACAACCATCTTCATCAAACCAAATATAAATCTAGTAATGTTAAATACAATTTCAATATTCTAAAAAATCTTCCAGCATTTCCGCCAATAACAAGCTCAAGTTATTCTTTTATTTTCTTATTTTTTATTTTTTATTTCAATGAAACAGAAACCTTGTTACCTACTCACTGAAGAAAACATAATTTTTCCATAATACCCATTTTGTATGATATATGATACATTTCATGCAATATATCCAAGCATGTATTATTGATAGTTCATACTTTAAGCAACTATCATTTAGCAAAAAGTTCTGAGTATGAAGGTAAATGTTATTCATTAAAGTATGCTTGGAACCACACACTTATTGTGGTAAACAATATTGACTTGAATATGTTACATCAGACAAAACAATGGCAACTTTTCCATTAATCATTACCAATTCAATTATACGATCAACTGAAATACTATCCATGAAACAAAGAGACTTCAAATTTTTTTGACACTCATTAATGTACCTATTTTTATAAACTATAATAAATAATAATAGATAAAAAATAAATTAAAATAAATTAGAAGCTTATGATTAAAATGATATTGATCTAGAATGACTTATATTCTTTTATAACTTTTTATTTCTTTCTTAAAACTAAACTGTACAGGCTTACAATAAATAGTTGAAGATAGTTTTTAATTAAGCCATAACAACATTGTTTGTTGTGACCCATTAAATCCAATCAATTCTTAAGAACAATACAAGTAAGAAATAAGAAAAAAAAATAAGTATGAAAGAAATTTTCTTTTTGTCAAAGATTCCTTAGATTATTATTTTTAGACAACTGTTTGTAAACTTATTGACATGTTGGTCCATCAAAACCAATAATAAATACATGTGTATGTATATAACATAAATTAAATCTTATCTTTGTGTATGTCATTTGTGTATGTCATTTTCAATAAATTATGAATCTAACTAAACAATACTAAACTGATTCTAAACTTTTGCAAGAGATTGTATAGTGTAGGGTCAATGTTTTTGTATTAAATTAACTGCAAAAAGTCTTTTTGTAGAGAAGGCAACCAACAGTATAGTTAAAAAAATTTGGTAAACCAACAAAAGTTGAGTAATCAGTTACAATTAAATTGTCTCTATGGTTTGATGTAGATATAAATCCTTCAACAGTCCACAATCAAGTATCAGAGTTTTTTCTGGTGAATAAGATTTTTTCTCTACCATTTTTGTGGCAAATTACAACCTGATGCAAACATTACTTCTGAAATTGAAAGTAAAGCACCTAATGCTGCCAATCTTCTTCTCTTTGTTTTTATACTTAAATAATTAAAATTAGGGCGGGTCAAGTACTACAGTTGATATAAGAGCAAATTTATCCTCATCATAACCAGTCAGAATAAAATATATATAATATTTTTTTCCAAATAAAATTAGCTACATTATTAAACTTGAAAAATCATTAATAGAGAACATCCAAGCATTTCTAAAAGATAAATTAAATTTTAAAAGATAATGTACATATTTTTATACACCTTTCATTGTAATTTTTTCCATTTTCCCATTAGAACTACAATTTCTGTGTCACATTAAGTACCACATTCTGATGTGCTTTTTTAAATAACACATTCTGTTGTGTCTTGTTAAACAAATGATAAAATGTTAAACTTGTAACATATATTATTAAAACACAGATTTAAAAAAAAATTTCAAAAATTTAATTTAAAGCTACTTTCTTACAACTCGATTAAAACATGTCACATATTTATTACATATTTATTTTTGAAACATTTGTTTTTTTGCAATCTATTGGCAAATTGTTGTAAAGTTTTTAGATTTTTTTTGTGTTGCATTATATTTAACATTCCAGTATAATAACTGTCATTTTATAATTATGCAAATAATTTTACTTTATATATATTTGATTAAAAAATTGCAAAATTAGTTAAAATTCTTCATGGAATACTAATTTAGTTTTCAATGAATATTAAATGAAAGTTAACAGTAAAGTTAAACAATAACTCAAAGGTTTAAACAATTATTTTAATTTAATTTTTATTTTATTAATAAGTTTTAAATAAAATAAGAAAAAAACACATAAGAAAAAAGATAAAAATGTAGTAACATTAAGTTAAATAACATAAAATAGTTACCTAATTAAAATTAATAGAAAAAATTAATAGAAAAAAAAGATTTTTTAGATAAAATGCACAAGTATAAACAATTAGGAAATTATAAAATGTTAAATAAACATACACTTCTAGTATCTTTACTAGAATTTTTCTCTCCTAACATAGCAGCATTTTTTGCTTCAAATTTTGCTTGGTGATAATTTTCCAACTTGATCAATTCATGCATTGAGCAAAGCTCTTCCAGCCATGTTGGTACTTCTTGTTCAGACTAAATTTTGAGTAAACAAAGTGTATGATTTTTATAATGAAATTGATAAAGAATGATTAACATTACCAAAAAGAAATAATTATTTACCCCTCCTAATAAAACAACCAATGGTCTAGCTAATACTTCATCCTTTCCCTTCACAAACATTGAGATAGATTTACCTGGATTTCCAATACGACCTGCACGCCCAATTCGATATACGTATGTTCTAATGTCATCATGATTAAGATTTGGCAAGTCATAATTTATGACTGTTTTAACTTCACAAATATCAAGGCCACGCGCGCTAACATTTGTACATATCAAAAGGGGTTTTAAATCTTCATTAAATTCATAGATAGCCCTTTTTCGATCGTTTTGAGTACGATGACTTAAAAAAATCAACAAAAAAGAAAAAATGTATTACACATAATATATTACACATTACATCTTATTCATAATATATTACACATTACATCTTACACATAACATAATACTGATTATATATTACACATTACATATTAAAAAAAGCAGCATTTTTTGAGTTTTAAAAAGGAAAATAGATAGCTAAACGTTATTTTATAAACACTACAACAGTTTTCAATATTAGCCAATCACTTAACAAGTAAACCTAAATATCTATACATAAGACCTAAAAGACCATGAACAAAAAAAAAATAGAAAAAAGAAGAATACACAAAAAGCTTCAAAAAAGAACCAGTATTAGGATTGAGATACCATATACATGAAATAAACTAAATGTATAAATTATCCTACAAAAAAAAATTTATTAATATAGTTTGCTATTTAAAAGAAGTTATATATATATATATATATATATATATATATATATATACATATATATATGGCAAAAAATAACTGATTTTTTTTTGCCAAAAAAACAAACTACTTCGTTTTTTAGTTTTTTTGTTTTTTTTTATAAACTACTCTTTTTCTTATTTTAAACTCTAGTATTATTTACTTTTTTTATTTACACTTTAGGTGTTATTTACTAAAGGAGAGTTTTCATTCATTTATTTAACATATGATTTTATTAGTATTATATAAAGTTCTTTAAGTAGCCGATCCCTACAAAAATTTTTTTTTGTCTTTTTTTAACTAACTACTTTAACACCTTGAACTTTAACATTTTTATAAATATTATCTTAACAGTTTGTTTTTATAAATATCATCTCAACAGTTTGTTTTTAGGTTTTTTAGATATTTATCAAATGACTTTGTCAATTTCCTAATAAACATTAATCTGTCTTTTTTTAATTTATAAATGAAATATTACTGCATAGCAAAATTTAAATGTATTGTATAAGATTGTTAATGATGATATATTGTTGTTTTGAAAATCTTTATGTACCAGTTATCATAATTTGTAGTAAAGTAAATTTTTAGTAATACAACTATTATTAGTTTTTTTAATAATATAACTGAATTATGAAATTATTTTAGAATATAGCCTTAGGTATTAAAAGAATTAATTAAGCAGATGAAAATAGTCACATCATTTAGTTGTTTGATTAGAACATAGTAATGAGTAGTAATAATAGAGTAGTCTGTGGACACACTGGAGAAAGAAAACATCTGTGATTATTTATTCAAGCCAGCCAGCTAGGTGAGCAAAATGGAAAGAGTTGGATGTTCTTTTTGTAATGATGTTATGTCGAAAAATAGAACACGAATGGCCATGCATATTAAGAAATGTAGAAAATTCCAGTTGAAGACAAATAAAAAATTTTAAATGACACAATTTAAAAATTTGTATTTGACTTCAACTGGAATTTTCTAAAAAACATTTAAAAAAAAATCATGACAGAAACAAAGCAAAGTAAAGCAACATGCAAATTTAAAAAATTTATATCAAGTCAGCATTGTAATTGTACAAATGTCACAAACATTATTTCAGACCCTTTAAAACATTCAGAACCAATTTCTAAAAGTGGTAAATCCTGTTCAATGTTTGATTGCATGAAACAATGTGAAAAGGTATTAACATTTTTTTTTTGCATAGTATATTTATTTTTAATTATTTATCTAAGATTTATAATGTCACAGGAATCAATTGATACACACCTATCTAGCGCTATTTACTCAAATGGGTCACTCATGAGTTTAGCTGATAATAAACACTAGAAAACCTTTTTAAACAGCTTACGCCCAGCTTATCAGCTCCCATCAAGGTATGAAGTATCAAACACAATCTTGAATAAAGAATTCAATAGAATATCAAGCAATATTAAAGAATTAATTGCAATAGCAGACTCTGTAGGACTTATGTATGATTGGTAGAGTAATATTAGGTGAGTATTAGTTTAATAAAATTTAAACAAAAAAAAAAATGAATTATTTATGCAAACAATTTAAAAATTAAAACTTGAAAACTATTGACATTTTGCAGAAATGAAGCAGTTTTCAACTTTGTGTTGACATTGACTTCATCATTGTCTATTTTATGAAAATCACTACCTTCAGGTAGTGATTTCCATAGTTTACATAAATGTATATTTTTTACATAATTTATAACATATATTATATACAAGTTTATATACAATAACATAAATATATATACAAGTTTACATACAATAACATAAACTATATACAAGTTTACATAAATGTATAAGTTTACATAAATGTATATTTATTTTTAAGAATAAATAATAAATACATTTTTTTTTAAATTGTTTTTAACTCTCTCCCAACTCCTAACTTAGTTCAAAAATTTTTCTAATTTTATAACTGAACATTTGTAAAGTATTTACATGAAAGTAATAATTTTTAGGTTTATCAAGTCATTCTGGGGAATACATAGTAGCTGAAATATGGAGGGTATTAGAAGAAATTAGTTCTTAAAAAAATTATTTGAATAGTAACAGACAATGCAGCAAACATGAAAAAGGCATGGAAACTATTAAAAATATATCTATCCTCTTCTTAATTGCTATGGATGTATATCTCATGATCTCAATTTGCTTTTTAATGATTTTATAAAAATAACAACTCTTTGTGTGTTAAGGAGCAACAGATATTGTAAAAGAATTCAAAAACTCTTTTTAATATGTGCAATATTTAAAGAAATTCAAAAATCAACAGTTGATTCAAAATTTCATTAAAACTACCGGTAAAGACCAGGTAATTGTTATATTATGCAATTAATTAAAAAATATTTTTTATATAGTAATTTATTTTATTTCTAATTTGATATTATTAAATTAGGATATGTGATTAAAATCTATTTATTAATAGATGGGGTTCCACTGTGGCGTGTCTTGAAAGTATACAAAAAAATAAACAGTCTTTAAAATCCTTGGCCATCTCTGAGCGATGTGTATTAAATTCTACAACAAAAAATAGCTTGTTATCAGATATTTTTTGGGATAAGGTTCAAGGATTTTTAAAGCTGCTAGCACCAATAGCTGATGCAATCAAGATAACAGAAGCCAACAGCCCAATGATGTCGTCTATAGTTGAAATCTTTTATAATTTAGAAAATAATATTAATCAAAAAAAAGTAAATAGTCCTTTAAAAAAAAAAGCGGAAGTAGAAATGAAAGAACTATTTACTAAAAGAAAAAAAATTTGTTTAACAAAAATTTATGTGGTTGCTAATCTACTTGACCCCAAATATCAAGGAAGATATTTAAATAGGGAAAAACCTTTGGTCCAAACTTGTGGAAGGGATTATGTTCATCTACTGAATTATCAAAAGTAGCAGCAAAAATTCTTCAGCTTCCTATTACAAGTGCTACTTGCGAAAGAAGTTTTAGCAGTTATGCAAATATTCACAATGTCAAAAGAAACAGGTTAACAAATAAAAGAGCATCAAAATTAATGTTTGTATCGGCAAATTTAAAACTTAAAGTAATGGATATGTGTGCAACACAACAACCAATTCTGCCAATAGGAACAATAAATATTTCAGATAAACCTCACAAACCAATAAACGTTTTAAATGAAGAGTCACCTGAACAATAATTTGAGTCACTTGACCAAGAACCAGAGTTTTCTAGTCGAGATTCTTCTGTAGATGAGTTTTAGATAAAAACACTTAAAACAAAATTGTTTCTTATTAATTTTTGAATTCAAATTTTGAAATTAACAAATAGTTTGTTAACTATTTTAGCAATAAATTAAACTTTTTTGTGAACTCTGTTCACGCTTTAATGAAAATGGACTAATTTTAATATAATCTAATATAAAATTTAAAATACTCAAACAAAACTAAATAGAAACATTTTAGATAAGTTGGAAACATTTAAAAAAAGTTAAAAGTAAGTAAACAAAAACACTATATATATTTAACTGTAAAAATGTAAAAAAAATCATTAAATTTTGAAAGGGACCGCTAAATTCAGAGAAATTAAAGCCACTAAATTTCTCCTCCTGTTCCCCCTCCCCCACTCTCTGATGGACTCTGCGGTCATGATTTTATGTAATCAAGTAGTCTAATCCATTTCAACGCCATTAAGAGTAAAATACCAACCAGAAGGATTCTTCTATAGATTTTTCATTTAAGTGCAATTTTCATATCTGCGAATCTGCATAAATCTAACCTAATATAAATGTGAATCTTTTGTAGGGGCGAAATAGTTGCAAAATAATTGAGCAAAGTGAGCAATGTAATATAAGTGCAAACATGCATAAGTGTGATTTGGTTTAAAGAGCTCCAAAATTGTGCACTTTTTTTTACTAAATAAATAAAAAAAAATTATTATACTGCCTAGCGACGTATCAAAGAATTTTTGAAGACCAGTGCCCCCCCCCCCCCAATTTATTAGGGCCTCAAAATCTCAAAAACTGTTAATCAATAGGGCACGGTCATGTACTAACTAACTAAATCAAATATACTAAGTTAGTAAAGACGGTTAGTAAATACTAAGTTAGTATCTTTGTTCTAAACTTTAATCTGGATTTCATTCTAAACGCATAATCGACTAAATCTGAAAGTATGGTCGAAACGTTGTTTTGATGTTTGATAGACATTTGTGTGTTTGGGAACTTTATAACTTTATATAAGTATTAAGAGCTATATAGGTCTTGAAATTTATAAATAAGATATAGTTATAAAAGTAATGAAATTTATGGGCACGGTTGATTACGAGCGTTATGGTGCGCATATGCCAGAAATTTTGAGAAATTTCAGAAATCTTAAAATGGCTGCGGTTTTTAGCTATGTAAATTTTTTTTATATGGCAACTGTTTTTTTAGTACATTTTTGTAAAAATTTATGTTGCAACCATATTATTGATCTAACTTAATAAATAAATGTCTTTTTTTTATTAGTAAATAAATAAAATTGAGGCTGTAAGAGAGTGAACAATCCAGAATGTGGACTGTACATATATATTTTTTTATTTAATAACATGGCATGTTATACATAAG